CCGGCGCGCCCGTGTACCTGGCGGCCGTGCTGGAGTACCTGACGGCCGAGATCCTGGAGCTGGCGGGCAACGCGGCCCGCGACAACAAGAAGACGCGCATCATCCCGCGCCACCTGCAGCTGGCCATCCGCAACGACGAGGAGCTCAACAAGCTGCTGGGCAAGGTCACCATCGCGCAGGGTGGCGTCCTGCCCAACATCCAGGCCGTGCTGCTGCCCAAGAAGACCGAGAGCCACCACAAGGCCAAGTAAGGGGAATGAGGATAGGGGACCCTGGAAAACAAAGGCTCTTTTCAGAGCCACCTACAGTGTCAGAGAAAGCTGCTACACACAAGTTATGTTGCATTTTAATATTTTAATTTTAGACGTTCGCATTGCAAAGTGTTTCTATCCTCCCGGGAGGGTCTGGAACAACCATAAGTCACCCTGAATGGAGTGGGACCCGCTAAAACGACGTGGCTTTTTGGGAAGTTCCAGATGAAGTCAGGTTGGCAAATTACCGAAGCCATCTATAATTCTAAGATTACCGATTACTAGTGTTCTAAAGCTGCACTGACAATTTAAAGTTAGCAATTCTGAGTTTATAGAAGAGTCTTGGAAAGAAACAGCCTGATTCTTAAGCGATCTAATGCTAAAGGATAATTTTCATCAAATGGTGAAATTCTTAAAATTCTACTCAATAATCACTTTAATTTTCTTTAGGATTTAATCCCAGTGAGAATTACAATTTGATTTATTGATTAAAAATAGGCAGAAGTTTCTGAATCTCGTATTGGTAAATTCTTGGTCCTATTTCTTTGGGATGCGTGTATTCATTTCCTGCACTCTTGAAGCAGCTCAGGAAACCACAGCCATGCAACCTAGAAAAACTGCCTCCCTGGGAACGGAAGTAAACATGGAAACAGGCGCTGGCAGGCATTGGATATCCCAGGACGAAAACAAGATAAGCTATAGAGCACAATGGGGCTATGATTTTAGAAAATGGAGGTAAGGTGTTACCTGATCAGAGACGTGCTTAAATTGAAAAAAATAAAGCAGCAGGTATTAGGGGAAGAGGACTCCCAAGTAGAGGGAGCTGAAAAGGCAAAGAAAATGTGTTGGGCATTTCTTGGGAACATCCCATGAGGCTATGAAGTAAAAGCTGGAGGGGGTGTAGGGGTAGGAGTGGGTCTGGCAGGCTCTTAAGACGAGGCCTAAGACGCTGGCAATGGGAGTGGTGAGTTTATGAGTCACCAACCAAGAGGTTCCACCAGAAAATCCCATGCTGTGAAACTTAATGCTTGTCTCTGGTGTGTCTGCCAGGAGCAAAACATTGGGGAGAGGGGGAGGCAGAATGAGGCAGCAGCTGGATGGGCAGCTCCAGGGATGGACAGAAGACTGTTTTTTAGACGACATCAGATGTCACTGGGAAATGAGCAGAGGAAGGGCCCATGGCAGGTGGTTCTGGCGGCCTGCTGTGATCCTACATGGGTTCCTCCTCAGCTCAGCAGGAGTTGGAGGCCTCATATGCACCTTCCCACCTTTGTAACACTGCAGTGGAGACTGAAAACCCACAAGAAGCGGAAGGGACTCCTAATCAGAACCAAGAAAGACAAATGCTTGTCAGCCTGTCCCCACCAGCTGGCCAAACAAAGTGCCGGTGGTTTCTGCTTTTATTCCCTCTCCAATGCTTCTCCATCCAGGCATACCCAAGTCCTGTTGGCATTGGCTGGAAGTCACGAAGAAGAAACTTGAGGTAATAAAAATAAAGAGAGGGAACTTTCCCCTTTAAACACGAGGAAATGATGTCAAAGGCAGACCCAGGTGTACTGTGCAGTCTTTCTGTACACAAAGGACCATAATCATGGCTGGGCCAGCACTGAAACTGCAAACTGATAATCTGGAGACAATTGGAGGAACTCTTGGGGGAAAGTCATGGCTGGAAAGAATAGCTCTGCCTTATCCTTCAGTTTCTAGACTGAAGCTGAGAAGGGGCAAGTGGATCCACTAAGGTGGGAGTGGAGGAGAGCTGACCTGAGGTGGCTGGAAATGGGAAGCAGTTGTTGCTGCCTGGGGACCATGGGGAGGTGGTCAGAGGGGCTTCCATGAGCCCTTTTTCCCATAGCATTGTACTCAGAACACATACGTGGCACCTCACCTCTCCTGGCCTTGTGGATTGTGAGAACTCCAAAAAATACTGTCTTCTGTCTCATATTTTTAGCAGCTTATGGAACGTTTCAGCAGGACACTATCTGCTTTGATTTCTGAAAGCCTTCCCTTAGGGCTAAAATGGCCCCCCCCCATCCTTCGCCACCTGTCTACCTGACATGGATTCTGACTCACAGCAAGGAAGCTTCGGAGGTGTCCTAACCGAGCAGCAATGTCTTGTACTTCAGACGCTGTTCCTCCAGCAGCCCCGTTTGGAGGCCGCTTCCCAGTAATTAGTCCAACAGCGTTCACTGCAGTCATCCAGGTTCACTTGTCTCACACCTCTCAGGTTTTCTCTTTTGTGTATTATTTCTACTCAACTGTACATGGGTGAGGACAAGGACCCCCGAGGGACCAGCTACTGTCAATCCTTTTGCTACCAGCAAATGAGGAAACTCAGATTTAAAACATACAAATATCTTGATCTTGCAATTCTCTAGAACGCATTTTCTCCAGCTCTTACTGGGCTGAGTCCATGGCCCAGAGGCCACCTCTCAGTAAGAAGTATAGGGCCTGGCACGTTGTAGTGCCAGGTGACTGGCAGGTGAAGAAGGCCCGGGCTTGGGGCTTGCTCACTAGCAGAGCTTGGCACACACGCTTCTGCAGGACACGTGCCAGGCTTCCTGGTTCTCAGTTACATTGTGTAGCTTTCAGTGAGCATCGCTAGCAAGTCTGGTATAAACTGAGCGGGGCCTTCCGAGACCAAAAGTGGGCATTTCCCAGGCGTCCTTTGTGGATGCATGACAGTTGGTCTGGAGGCATCCTACATCACCGGCCCAGGGCGGGACAGGCTCCTAGCGGCAGGGCTGGGAAAGGAGCGGTCCAGAGCAAATTCTAATCTGAGCAGAACAAGGAAAAGCGATCTCGGAAGAGAAAGGACGGTCCATGTCGATTCTGCCAGTGTATTTACTGTGAGGAAGTGGAAGTGGGGTTGGGGAGGGCAGGGGGCTCGCTGTGTAAGGCCAAGGTTTTCGCAGGTTTCTCTTGATTTTAGTAAGGAACCGCAACCCTCAGATGCATCCAATGCTCCCCAGGCCGGAGACCCCGTTTCGTCCTGGGAGGATAATCCTGGCGCGTCCTTGCTGAGAACGTCAGGCAGGGGCTGCAGCTGGACTCTGGGGAGCCCGAGGCCAGGGCAGAGCTGCAGGGCGGCCCCGTCTCTCCCGCGCACGCGCGTCTCTGCTGAGGTTCCCGACCTGGGCCCAGGGCTGCCTGGGTCTGACCTAAGACGGGTCTTCTTGGCCCAGCTTCACGACTTCAGCGATCACTGCGGATGAGGCCCTCGCAATCTGGAGGCGAGGGGATGTCAGTGTCTGAAGCATCGGGCTTCACGCCCCGCTCCTGCCTAGCTCTTACAGTTGCTGGAGGAGCAGAAATAATAGGACTGTGCTTTGTGACAATCTGGCGCCTCACTGCGCCCCAGAGCAAAGCAGTGTGGCGGTGGGTCTCCTAAAGAGAAGCATTGTTTCCCCATAAGCGCTTTCATAAGCCTCACCCAGCAACAAAAGAAACCCCCGGCCCTTGCCTTCATGGGAGGAAGGAAAACCCACAGCCTCTGGTTCCACTGGGGATCGAACCCAGGACCTTCTGCGTGTAAAGCAGACGTGCTAACCGCTGCACTATGGAACCACGCGCCTGGCTGTGGTGCAGTAACCACAGTAGAAAATGTGTGGAATTATTCGAAGGTGTCTGGTTGGTTTTGGATTTTTTTGGTTTTGGGTTTTTGGGTACTAAACTCCATTTCCCCTGCATCTCACTCGCGCACAAGTGATGTCATCTGTAAACACACGAGAAAAATTTATCTAAGACTGCATTCTTGTTCTGTACCCCTTTGAACACTTCTACACGAATCTATGTTCACTCATTGATTCAAATATTATTTATTTAGAGCGTCTACCACACCGCGTGCCAAGAACTGGAGGTGCTGCCGATAAAGCGGTGCATCACTTAAAACCCCTGCGTGCGTGCACCTGGTCCTGTAGCGCCTACACCTGCGGCAGGTAGCAGGTGCTGCATAAATGGAACTCTATAAACGAAATTAGCAGCGCTGTCATGACTCTCTTTGCGACGGGGTCAGAACTGATCAGTTGGGGACTGCTCGCTAAATTTAGCTTAGGATATTTGTGCATTAAGATGGGAGGCAAATAAATGTTTTAAATTGTAGGGGTTCAGAGCATGCCACCCCAAAATATACCTCTGGCATATTGATTATTTTGAGTTAAAGGCACTTGAAAACAACAGATGCAAAAAAAAGGCATTCTGATCCTCCTTTTTAAGTGCAGGAGATAAAATTCCCATGTGAAAGGTGCCTTACTGTACCAGGAGAAAAGGGGAAACATTTTTATTACCAGAGACAGGAAGTCGGGGCTGAGGGAAAGCTTGACCCAAAACCTTATTAAACAAACCCTTATCTTCCTAGTCACAATTATACAGTTAACTGTCCTAGCCCCAACCAGTTTGTCTTGTCATATTTTCACGTCTGTCCAACTTACAATGGTATACAAGTGTTGCTTCTTTGAGTCTTCATTTTTCTTGTGGGCGCTCCCAGGACATGTAAAAATTACTTAATGAAAGTCATATGTTGTTCTATTAATCTGTTTTATGTCAGTTTAATTCTTAGGCCCAGACATGGACCCTATGAGGGTAGAGGAGAAATTTTACTTCCCCTACACAATCTCTGTCTCATCCAACCCCCCGTAGAGCACAATATTGGTCTGACAAGTCTCCTTCAAGCTCTGGACCCTGCTGTCTAGAGCCATGTGACAAATTGGGGGCCTTTATCCTGTCCAAGGCAACTTTAATATACCTTAAAGTCACAGTGCATTTTAGTATACCTTACCACTAATGTAAACAAAACAAAACAAAAATGTCAACTTTGCAAAAAGTACATATGATCAAAATGATACACAATAAGCAAATCAGAAAAGTTTCATACATAAGGAGAGGAATGGCAGCAGGACATGGGGACAAAAGGAGAAAATAAATCCTCCACTCAGTTTTATAATCTTGGAGGACCGGGATCAAGTCGTTTTAATCCAGCAGCTCAATGAGCAGAACAAAG